AGGGGTCCCAGGAACACTGTGACCATCAGGAGCTGACCTCCAGGCGCCTCCCGGTGGTTAGAAGCTGTGACCTCTCAGGTAGCCACCACTGCCTCCCAAGCTGCGCCACCTCACCCAAAGGATTCTCCTGCACTCACCCACCAACATGGGCAGCACGGGCGTGGGCCTGCCCAGGGGGCCTCACATACTAACAAACCCAGTGGACACGGGGGTCAACAAAGCAGACGTTACTGTCCCCGTGTGTCAACATTGTTCTAATGGCCTCCACTGTGTTACTGTGCTACTGTGTTATTACGATATGTTGTTAGTACGTGTTATTACTATGCAATGTTACTGTGTTGTTACTGTGTGTTGTTGCTGTGTTACTATGTGCTATATTGTGTTGTTACTGTGTGTTGTTAATATGTGTTACCGTGTGTTTTTATTATGTGTTATGTGTTATTGTGTGCTGTTACTGTGTGTTACTGTGTGTAGTTACTATGTGTTATTGTGTATCGTTACTGTGAGTTGTTACTATGTGTTACTGAGTATTGTTATGTGTTGTAAATGTGTGTTGTTACTATGTTGCTGTATTACTATGTATTACTGTGTTTTATGTTGTTGTGTGTTGTTACTGTGTGTTGTTGCTATGTTACTATGTGCTATTGTGTGTTGTTACTGTGTGTTATTGCTATGTGTTACCATGAGTTTCCCACAAGATCTACCCTGTCCTGTGTGGTTGCTGTGAGTCAGCATGAACTCGATGGCCATGAGGTTGGTTTTTCGGTTTTGAGCCAAACTGAACCTCAGTGGCACAGTGGGTTACAGGTTGGGCTGCTCTCCGCAAGGTCAGCGGTCTGAACCACCAGCTGCTGCTCGGGAGAAAGAGAGACTGTTGCTCCCATAAAGGTTTCCAGCCCAGAACCTGGACACACAGCCACCTGGAGACTGAACCCCCGGCAGCTGGCTCTCTGTGTACGGAGCAGGGCCATTCCAGAGGGAGGTCCCTCCCGCATCACGGCTCTAACTGTGGCTTCGGAAGCTCATACATACCAGACCCCAGACAGTGCAGACACAGATTCCCCAGGGCCCTGTCCATGGTCAGTCACTGAGCAGTTTGCTGGTGTTCAGGGACCTGCAGGTGACCCCGGTAAAATGGAGCCTGCCCCCTCTTGACTGAGTCCCTGTGCTGTAGCTGTGTGCTGCCCAAGGCCATGACATGGACAAGGGTCAGCGTTTCACGCTAACGCAGACACACGACACGGTCACCACCCAAATGGCCAACACAAACACTGTCTTTGTGTCAAGTTTATTTCCGGCTGTAGAAGCAGCCTTACGAGCAGCTGGTTCTCTGAAAGCCCCACACAGACAGACGGTCTTGTGTCCCTGGAGGCCAGCCTCCACACCAAGGGCAGTGACCCATGGAGGCCAGAACGTGAGTGTGCATAGTCTCCACCCCACTGCACACCCTCCCCCTCGCTCACTCAGAAACCCTGCTCATACAGCCCAGGGGCCAGGCAGGCAGCACCAGCCAAGGTTTCGTAGCGATGGGCGTGGCCCTCAAATCCAGTCTGACTCCTCGCAGCCCCACATATGCAGAGTCCAGCTGCTCCCAGGGCTCCCCCAGATATGGCCTTTTGAAGCAGCTCACAAGGCCAGCTGCCCAGGGGCCTCCTTTGGTTAGTCATGGATGATGATCCCCACTGTCCCTAGTCACTAACCGTCCATCCTTGGTCACTACCATCTGTGCTACCCTGTGGCCCATGGATAAAGCTCTCGACTGGTTGGAACTGTCGGGCTCAGCCGGGGTGACCCTTGGGCACTGTCCTGCTCAGGCC